TCATTAATCAGCTGAAGGAGATTATGTTCCAGAGAACAATTGATTGCAGATCAGTAATAATTTAGCAGCTACTGAGCTGTCTTATGCTACATTCTCACTAGAATGTTGAGTTTTACCATATCACAGAGTTGATATCCTCAACACAAATTGGTTAAAATGGGTACAGTTTTGCAGATAGTGGAGATCATGACTTTAAATTCAAAACGCCTTTTATGCACAAGATCTGCTAGCGCCATATTGCAGTCATTGCAGGATTTTCAGACTAGTTTCCTGGGTCAGCACTCTCACTACAATGCAGGAGGACTGCTGCAATGTTGCATGCTGACCCAAGGCCCCTTCAGGCAAGATCCCACGGCATAATTTCAAAGAACAGTTCTCCCTCCAGCTAATATTTTTCTCTCAATCGGGACCATTCAAATATCAGGACCTGAATGTCTGTAGGATCTTGGTGTGTGCAAAAAATGGTGTTTGCCATTTCCTACGACAAAGGCACTTTAAAAGGATAGTTCATTGGCTATAAAGTCCTATGGGATGGCCCTGAGGTTGTGAAAGGTGTCTTTTTTTTTAAAAAGTAGTCTTACAGGATAACAGGGAAATGCTCCCATCTGTTTAGCTGTGGCCAACCAATAGTTTTTGGCTTTCTTTAAACTTAGCCCGTACTGTGTTGTCAAAATAATGATGAGCCTAATGACACTTATTAATGAGAAGGTGTCATAGCAGGTTCAGGCGAGGGCAGATCCACAAACAAGTTCAGAGGTTGCTTTCCAGGATGACCCTGTTTCACTAACACTCCCCTGAAAACAGCTCTACTGAAGGCTGCGATATTACGGAAGGCACAGTGGTAATGTCACCAGGCTAGAATCCAGACACCCAGGCTAATGTTCTGGTGACATAAATTCAAAGCCTACCAGGGCAGCTGGTGGAATTTAAATCCAATTCAGAAATCTGGAATTAACTGCTAGTCTCAGTGATGCTGACCACGAACCCACATTAATTATCCTACAAAAGATGAACTTTGTCTCTATCATTCCTTTTTATGATTTCTCTAAGTAAAATGGCACTGAACTGTGGTGACTTATTTGCATCTCACTGTATTTTCCTAAGTGCAAGTGACAATAAATCGCTATTCTAATCTACAAGTTTCTCTGGTTTACTATTGGTGCTTATCCTGCCTGACCTATACATGACTCCAGATCCACAGTAATGTGGCTGACACTTTACTGTCCTCTGCAAATGGCCCCGCAAGCTACTCAGTTAAGAACATAAGAACTAGGAGCAGAAATAGGCCATTCAGCCCCTCAAATCTGTTCCACCATCTCTTATGATCATGGTTGATCTCATCTCAGCTTCAACTCCACTTTACTGCCCACTCTCTATAACCCTTTAACCCATTACTAATTAAAAGTTTATCCCCTCTTTAAATTTACTCAGTGTTCCAGCATTCACTGCTCTCTGGGGCATTGAATTCCACAAATTGAAGACCCTTTGAGAGAAGAAATTTCTCTTCATCTCAGTTCTAAATCTGCCATGCCTTTGCTTATAGCTATGACCTCTTGGTCTAGATGGCCCCACAGTGGGGAAAGTGCACCCTATGTCTATTTTGTCAGTCCCCTTTAGCATCTTATATAGCTCCATGAGATCTGCTCGCAATTTCAAGGGAACTTAGGAATAAGCAACAAATGCTGGACTTGTCATCAATTCTGACACTAAAGACGGTAGGAGAGGTGCTAAATGAATATTTTTCGTCAGTATTCACACAGGAAAAAGACAATGTAGTCGAGGAGAATACTGAGATACAGTCTATTAGACTAGACGGGATTGAGGTTCATAAGGAGGAGGTGTTAGCAATTCTGGAAGGTGTGAAAATAGATAAGTCCCCTGGGCCGGATGGGATTTATCCTAGGATTCTCTGGGAAGCTAGAGAGGAGATTGCAGAGCCTTTGGCTTTGATATTTATGTCGTCATTGTCTTCAGGAATAGTGCCAGAAGACTGGAGACTACCAAATGTTGTCCCCTTGTTCAAGAAGGGGAGTAGAGACAACCCTGGTAATTATAGACCAGTGAGCCTTACTTCGGTTGTGGGTAAAGTGTTGGAAAGGATTATAAGAGATAGGATTTATAATAATCTAGAAAGGAATAATTTGATTAGGGATAGTCAACACGGTTTTGTGAAGGGTAGGTCGTGCCTCACAAACCTTATTGAGTTCTTTGAGAAGGTGACCAAACAGGTGGATGAGGGTAAAGCGGTTGATGTGGTGTATTTGGATTTCAGTAAAGCATTTGATAAGGTTCCCCATGGTAGGCTATTGCAGAAAATACGGAGGCATGGGATTGAGGGTGATTTAGCGGTTTGGATCAGAAATTGGCTAGCTCTAAGAAGACAGAGGGTGGTGGTTGATGGGAAATGTTCATCCTGGAGTTCAGTTACTAGTGGTGTACCTCAAGGATCTGTTTTGGGACCACTGCTGTTTGTCATTTTTATAAATGACCTGGATGAGGGCGTAGAAGGATGGGTTAGTAAATTTGCAGATGACACTAAAGTTGGTGGAGTTGTGGATAGTGCGGAAGGATGTTGCAGGTTACAGACGGACATAGATAAGCTGCAGAGCTGGGCTGAGAGGTGGCAAATGGAGTTCAATGCGGAAAAGTGTGAGGTGATTCACTTTGGAAGGAGTAACAGGAATACAGAGTACTGGGCTAATGGTAAGATTCTTGGTAGTGTGGATGAGCAGAAAGATCTCGGTGTCCATGTGCATAGATCACTGAAAGTTGCCACCTAGGTTGATAGCGTTGTTAAGAAGGCGTACAGTATGTTAGGTTTTATTGGTAGAGGGATTGAGTTTCGGAGCCATGAGGTCATGTTGCAGCTGTACAAAACTCTGGTGCGGCCCGCACTTGGAGTATTGCGTACAGTTGTGGTCACCGCATTATAGGAAGGATGTGGAAGCATTGGAAAGGGTGCAGAGGAGATTTACCAGGATGTTGCCTGGTATGGAGGGAAGGTCTTATGAGGAAAGGCTGAGGGACTTGAGGCTGTTTTCGTTAAAGAGAAGAAGGTTAAGAGGTGACTTGATAGAGACATACAAGATGATCAGAGGATTAGATAGGGTGGACAGTGGGAGCCTTTTTCCTTGGATGGTGAAGGCTAGCACGAGGGGACATAGCTTTAAATTGAGGGGTGATAGATATAGGACAAATGTCAGAGGTAGGTTCTTTACTCAGAGTAGTAAGGGCGTGGAATGCCCTGCCTGCAAAAATAGTAGACTCGCCCACTTTAAGGGCATTTAAATGGTCATTGGATAAACATATGGATGATAATGGAATAGTTTAGGTTAGATGGGCTTCAGATTGGTTTCACAGGTCGGCGCAACATCGCGGGCCGAAGGGCCTGTACTGCGCTGTAATGTTCTATGTTCTATGAACTATACTCACCACTGAGAGTTCAATCTTAATTTTTGTTTTGATTCCCTCAATGTCAGACATCATTAATGACACTTTGTCAATCTCTCTGGAATTGATAATTATCTATTACAAGAGTGGAGTCTCATTGTCAGTATTTAATTATGGGTGGAGATTTTAAAAAATCATAAATGTGAAAGTTCTTTGTTTACAATTCCTTTGTTATTTTCCCTTTCTCTCACACTTTCTGTACATGATTTGGCGTTGAATTTAACCACTCTACAATTTACATTTCCTTTTCAGTCAGTTTATTCCAGAATACTTCAGTTGGATTGATTGAGGAGGCACCTTTTTCACTTTGGTCCTGAATTTTGCAGTTTCTCTCACTGCACCACGTTCGGCTAATACCTCCAGGAACATGCCAAGCAAAACTTTAAAATAAAACTGACATGTTTCGAGGATGAGTTTAATCCTTAGCAGGTGTCATCAGGTGCTCTACCGCTGCAGATTATAGCCCTACGTTTGGTTCTTGGTAAATCCCTGTCCTTGGCCTGATCAATTCAAACTTGGAGGATGTTTCTCTCTTTGTTGTTTCTTTCCAGGGATCCGTGTATCTATTTACATCTCCCGGGTTTAGCTATTTCCCTATTTCTATCTGTAAACTACTAGTGAACAAGGGAGATTATCATCTGTATGCAATACAGTTATAGAGCCACACAGCGTGGAAACAGACCCTTCGGTCCAACTAGTCTGTGCTGTCCATAATCCCAAACTAAACTAGTCCCACCTGCTGCTCTTGGCCCAAATCCCTCCAAACATTTCTTATTCACGATCTTATCTAAATGTCCTTTAAACATGGTAACTGTGCCCGCATCCACCACTTCTTCTGGAAGTTCATTCCACACACGAACCACTCTGTGTAAAAAAAATTGCCCCTCATGTCTTTTTTAAATCTTTCTCCTCTCACCTTAAAAATATGCCCCCTAGTCTTGAAATCCCCTACCTTAGGGAAAAGGCACTTGCCATTCACCTTTTCTATACCCCTCATGATTTTATAAACCATGATAAGTTACCCCATAAGACTTAGTGATTTTTTTCCCACCTCCCCATTTGCTTTTCCTTATCTACTTATTTCTTTGACACCTTCCATGATCCCTAGGTTTCCCGAACAGTTCTATATCCAACAGCATACGTTCTAAATGCAGTCGCAGTTTGCAATGCAGGAAATGTAGCAGCCAACTTGTATGCAGCAAGTTCTCTCAAAATGACTATAACTTTTATAAATGAGATTGTCAGAAGAGTAATCATTGGTTAGGAAGCAGAGCCGTTCTATCCTTTGCTCTGATTGGGATCTGTAACATTGGACTACCTGCTGTTTGTGTGAGCTTGCTCTGTGTCACATGATGACTGTGTCTCCTACATTACAACAGTAGCCCCTGTAAAAAATTACTTCATTCACTATAATGTACCGAGGTCACGAAAGGCACTCTTTCAATTTACGTTCCTTCCTTTCTCTCATTTTACGCACAAGCTGGGGATAAGGATAGCTTCCTGCCGGTCAGCAAAGATGTAACATGTTGAAAAGGATGGGTCACACCTACCCTCAGAGACATTCTCCAAAATCTGGGTGACTTTCTCTTTCTTCAGAATGTGCCTTTTAAGATACTTCATGAAGATTCCTGAGCTGTACTCTCCATCCTGTACCTCATAGGCTTCCGCATCTTCACACCTGTAATTCCAGCACAGGTTAAAGACATTTTAGCTTTCCCATTGCTGTAGCTTCCAACAGCTCCTTGCTTCCAATTTTTTCTTTGAAATATCTTTTTCACTCTTGGTCCCCTAAAGGCCAGTCTTCTTCTGATTCGATAGCAGTACTGTGCAATTAGCCAATAGCCACATGCGGCTACTGAGAAACCTACATGGAGCCAATTGTGTTTCTGGATTAGGAAATGTGAAATGGCCAATTAATGCCATTAGTGGACTTGTGATCTCAGTCTTCATCGTGAACATTGGTAAAACATCAACACACACACTGGGCTGGAGCAGGGTCAAGCCATTCTGAGCCTGCCCCGCCACTTAATAAGATTGGATTTTAAGCCCAATTCTACATTCCCACACATCCCTGATATCATTTCACCGCCTGTGCTTATCAAAATTCTATCCACCTCTGCTTTAGAAATATTCAAAGGATGGTGACTCTGTGGAATTCATGACCCCTAGACTGCGGTGGATGCCAGGACATGGAGTAAAATTAAGGAGGAGATAGACAGATTTTTTAATTAGTAATGGGTACAAGGATTATGGAGAGCGGGCAGAAAATGGAGTTGAGGCTGAAGTGAGATCAGCCACGGTTGTATCCAATGGCAGAGGAGTCTCAAGGGGCTGAATGGCCTCCTCTTGCTCCTCACTCTTCAGTACTTACACTCTCTGCTTCCACAGCCTTTTGAACAAGAGAGTTCCAAAAACCCATGACCTTTTATGAGAAAGAAATTCTCTACACCTTCATTTTAAATGGGTGATCCTTTATTTGAAACCATTATCAACAGTTTGAGATTCTGCCATACCTTCTCCACATCCACCCTGTCAAGACCCCTAAGGATCATATAGGGGTCAATTAAGTCAAACCTTGCTCTTCTGAACTCCCGCAGGATGCAAGCCGAGTAAAGTGTAACAGGTCTTCGTCAAAGAAAGTGATTGCTTCACTTTCTCGGTTAGTGAACTGTGTCGGATAGAAATATTTCTGAGGAAGATTCCTGGTCAATTTGAAATATTAACTGCATTTCTCTTCCTCTGCAATGAAACTGCCAGAGCAGCTGAATATCTCAGATTATAAAATGTAGAGCAAAAATAGGCCATCAGCCCATCAAGTCTACTCCGCCAGTCAATGAGATCATGATGGATCTGATAACACTCAACTCCACTCTCCTGTCATTTCCCCATAACCCTTGATTCCCTTACTGATTAAAAATCTATCAGTTTTGAATATATTTAATCACCCAACCCTGACGGCCCACTGCAGTTAAGAATTCCACAGATTCACTCCACTCAGAGAAGAAATTCCTCCTCATTGATGTCTTAAATGTGCAATCCCTTTCTCTGAGATTGAACCCTCTGGTCCTTGTCTCTCCCACATGGGGAAACAACTCTTCCACACCTACCCTTGTCAAGTCCCCGAAGAATCTTGTATGTTTCCATAGAGTCACCCCTCATTCTTCTACACTGCAATAAATACAGGCCCAAATCTACTTTAGATTTCTGCAGTACTTCACTTTCATCAGGATGGTGTGAGCTGTCATGCAAACATGGGACAGGTGAAGTGTACTTATTTGTATTGTGTCAGTGTGCAACAAGGAGTTTAGTGGACTTGGTTAGAGAGAGGTCATTGAAGCCACATTCAGGGCTGATTAGCAATTTCTACTGGATGACATTACTGTTAGATAGGAGCTTGCCGAGTTCTGTTGTCTTGTCTGAGCCATGGCTCAGCTGATGCGTCCGTGCTTTGGAGAGACAACTTTGGGGGTTTAAGTCCTGACTAAGAGATTGGAGTATGTATGCAACAGTTCAGAGCTGCAGTGTTGGAGGTGATGTCTTTCGAAGATCCATTAAACTAAGGCTTGCTCTTCCATTCTCAAGTGAATGTAAGAGACCCCCATGGCACTGACCAATATTCCTCACTCAACCAATATCACCAAACGGATTTTCCTAGTGTTTGTGTGTGAAATCAACTGCTTTATTTCCTTCATTCCAACAGTGGCTACACCGCAATCACAGAAACTCGGAATTGCTACGGTGCGAAGGGAGGCAATTTGGTCCATTGTGCCTGCAATGGTTCTATCCCCTAGTGCCAATCTGTAAGGGGTGCAGAGACACAGGTTTTCATTTTTTTCCCCACACCTTTCAGTGAGATGTCGAGATTGGAGATTACAAGATAGTTTCGCTGGTCTATACTGTAGGATTGGCTTAGCCTTGAATGGCAATTGGGCAATGCTGATACTGGGGCAGTCCAAAGGAATCACTGGCCCTTGGATATATGTTCATAGAACTGTTACAGCTTTGGGGATGGGGGTCCAACATCAGGAGATATCTCAGCATAAAGGCCATTTAAAACAGAGATGAGGAGGGATTTTGTCAGTCACAGGTTGATGAATTTTTGGACTTGTTTCTCCCGCGAGCCTTCAAAGCCCGGTTTCTGGATGACATTAAGGGATACAGAGATACCATGGGAAAGGGGCATTGAGGAGATGATCAGTCATGAACTGACAAGTCTGACAGGGTGAATGGCCTATTGCTGTTCCTATGCCCTGCATTCTCTACTCTACTTTCAGATCCTTCCAAAGCGTGGCACCTAAAAATGAATGCAATTCTCCAGCTGAGGCCAAATTAGCATCTTATTCAAAATCAACATAACCTCCTTGCTCTTGTATATTGTTTGCACATTCTCCCAGTGTCTGTGCAGGTTTCCTCCAGGTGCTCCGGTTTCCTCCCACAGTCCAAAGATGTGCAGGGTAGGTGGATTGGCCATGCTAAATTGCCCCATAGTGTCTAGGGATGTGCAGGCTAGGTGGATTAGCCATGGGAAATGTGAGGTTACACAGAAAGGGTGGGGGATTGGTAGTCTAAGGTGGATGCTCTTTGAAGGGACAGTGTGAACCTGATGGGCTGAATGGCCAGCTTCCAAACTGTAGGGATTCTATGATTCTACAATTCTACTCTAAGCCCCAATTAATAAAGTCTGGGACACTAAGTTTTATCAACTGCTCCCTGCATCTGTCCTACTTATACACGTATATACCCAGATCCCTCTGCTCCCCCACACTCTTTAGAATTGCTTCTATTTTACACGGTCTTTCCATGGTCTTCCGACTAAAATGAACCACGCTCATTTCTCCACATTGAGCTTCAACTGCGGGTGCTGGAAATCAGGAACAGAAACTGCTGCAGAAACTCAGCAGGTCCCGCAGCATCCGTGGAGAGAGAAAGCAGAGTTAATGTTTCGGGTCCGGTGACCCCCTCTTCAGAGCTTCAGTTAACCGCAGATGCTGCCAGGCCTGATGAATTTTCCCAGTGATTTCTGTTTTTGGTTCATTTGCCACATGGTTGCCCCCTTCACCAGCTAGGCAATGTTCTTTTTAAAGGATGACAACTGACCTCACAGTTTACAACTCTTGCAAGTTTTATATTATCCCCAAAGGTTGAAATGGCAGTTTTATGGAATGTGGTGTCAAACTAGGTAAACAGAATTAAGGTACAGGTCAGACATGATCAAGGCCAGGCTCGAGGGGCTGGGTAGCCTTTGTTCTGTTGCCATGCCACAGCATCTCAGAGGAAGAGGCAGATCTTCTGAAGTTGCGAAGATGATGGTTGGGGTTGGGAAAGGAAGGGTTCAGGCCTTTGCCTGACCTGGCAGGGCTGACACCAAGTACAGGAAATACACATCATTGCCATTCACTCCCAGACTGGAATAGCAGAGGGATACTCACGTCGCATATCCATAGACGATATTTCCTGTGGGAGCAAGCGGCTGTAGATCTGAAGGAAAGTATTCCTGATTATACCTGGAAAACAAATGTGGTGGATTTCAGAGACATATCTCAAGCCTCTCGAAAGTTACACAAAGAATGCATTGGAAGTTAAGGCGTGGGTCTTGCAAAGATGGGGGGAGGCAGCGGCTTCTGTTCTGAGGCATTCAAGGTGAGGGTGTGCAGTAATAGGCTGGGTATGAAAGCCTGTGACTCAGGGAAATCAGCACAGCACCACCTCACTGGTCTTAGTCCTCAGCTCAATTTATCAGGTGGGCAGTGAAGTGCCAACATGAAAAACCTAACCCTTCGCTGTGAGTCATCCCTTAGTTGGTCATCTGGAAGTGGAAATTCCATTCACAGAGACAGAATGTGGATGAGGCACTTTCAGACAATAGTTTTAATCAACCTTTTTGGAGACATTATGACATACCCTATAGCAGATGGGATTTGAAGCTGGATATTCTGGGCCTTACTTCAATTCAGAACTTCAATCTTTTGATTAGTTCTCTCCCGTTCCATAACTATTTTAAAACTAATAGAGTTACGATCACTTACCCTATAGTGCTCCCCTACTGAAACCTCAGTCACTTGCCCTGCGTTATTTCCCAATAGAAGATCAGGTATTGCTCCTTTTGCAGTCAGTACATCCACATATTGAATAAGAAAGTTTTCTTGTACACACTTAAATTCCTCCACATCCAAACCTTTAACACTATGACAGTCCCAGTCTATACTTGGAAAGTTAAAATCCCCTAACATAACCACCCTATTACTGATACAGAAATCTGAGCTCTCCTTACATATTTGCTTCTCAATTTCCCACTGACCATAATGCAATCCCAATAAGGTGATCACCCTTTCTTATTTCTCAGTCACACCTATATACCTTCACTGGGCGATCTCCCAGGAATATCCTCCCTAATGTTATCCCTGATCAAAAATGCCAGTCTCCCTCCTCTCTTCCCTCCCTATGGGATCTATACCCTGGAACATTAAGCTGCCAGTCCTGTCTCCCCTGGGCCACGTTTCTGTAATTGCGATGATATCTCAGTCCCATGTTCCCAACCATGCCTTGAATTTATTTGCATTACCTGTCAGGCCTCTTGCATTGAAGTAAATGCAGTTTAATTTATCAGTCTCACCTCGTTCTCTGCCAAGCTCTTGTCTGCCTTGACTATTTGACTTGCTCCCCTTATCTATTGTACCAGCCTCAACATTTTCTCTCTATTGCTTTGGTTCCCAACCCCACTCCATAGGAAATCAAAACCAGTAAAAGACATAGTTGTCAGGTGTGTGATCTCAGTACCTTCATTCACATGATGCATGAGGATTTTAATCATTTTATGAACATATGAATTGCATTTTGTTTTACGTCTCACAATTTTACCAAAGTGGGTTTTTACTCTAGATCTAGACATAACTATTTTAGACATAACTATTTTAAAACTAATAGAATTACGATCACTTGCCCTATAGTGCTCCCCCACTGAAACCTCAGTCAGTTGTCCTGCGTTATTTCCCAACAGAAGGTCAGGTATTGTTCCTTCTAGACTCTATTCACCCAGGCATCAATTAAACATCTCTCCCCTGCCTTTAAGAGACTCCTTAACACTTAAGTCTTTGATCAAGATATCCCATACACCTAGAAGTGAAACCTTATTGTATAACACTCCCATGTACCAGTTCCTTTCACTGTGTTAGGTGTGCTACACAACTGTACGTTTTTGCTGTTGACATCCAATCTCTGAAGAAAGTGCAACATCACTAGGTTCCTCCAAAGCTCAGAGTTTCGAGAAAGTCAGTGTTGCTCAATTTCCTGCCACTGCAGCCATTCAATAGAAATCCAACAGATGACACACTGTGGTCTACAAAGGTCACTGTATAGACCAATTGTGCTTATTCAAGAACACACGCACCAACAGGTTCAAGAACAGTTTCTTCCCTGCTGTTATTAGACTGCTGAATGGACCTCTCTAACTCCAAACAATGTTGATCTTGCTTTGTGCACCTCCTGAGCAGTGTAACCTTGTATGCCTCGCTCTGTCTAAGCACCCAATGATCTGTATATCCTTGTTTGCTGTGATCTTCCTGTACTGCTCGCAAAACATTTTTTTTCATTGTACTTACGTACATTGCTTTCTTTATTCTTTCATGGGATAGGGGCATCACTGGCTAGGCAGCAGTTATTTCCCAACCACATTGCTGAGGGCCTGGAGTCACATGTAGGCCAGACCAGGTAAGGACAGCAATTTCTTTCCCTGAATGACATCAGTGAACCAGATGGGTATTTTTCCAACAATTGGCAATGGATTCATTGTCATCATTAGACCCTTAAGTCCAGATTTCTTTTGTTTTGAATTCAAATTCCTCCATCTGCCATGGCAGGATTTGAACCCAGGTGCTCAGAACATTATCTGGGTCCCTGGATTAACACTCTAGCGATAATACCACTAGGCCATTGCCTCCCCTACAATAAATGTGACTACAATAAATTAAATCAAAATTTTCAGCTAAATATTCATTTAAGATTTAAAGGTTGCGCAGCAATTTGAAAGAAATCAAACTTGCACCTAAATGGCACTTTTCATGACCAGTGGACATCTCAAAGCTCTTTATGGGTAATGAGCTACTTTTTGAAGTGTTATCATGTAGAAAATGCTGTGGCCAACATCTGTACAGCAAATTCCCATCATCAGCAATGTGACAATAACAGAATCTGGTTGAAGGAACTTTGTTTTTCGTTCGTTCATGGGGTATGGGTGCCAGCATTTCTTACTCATCCCTAATTGCCTTCGAACTAAGGGGGCTTGTTAGGCCATTTCAGAGGCAGTCAGGAGTCAGCCACGTTGCTGTGGGTTTGGAGACACATGTAGGCAAGAGCAGGTTAGGATGGAAGTTTCCTTCCCTACAGGGCATTATTAAACCAAATGGATTTTTATCTCAATTGACACAGCAGCTTCATGGTTGTCACCAGACCTTTAATTTTTGTTGAATTCAAATTCTGTGGTGGAATTTGAACTTGGGTCCCCAGAACAGTACCAGAGGTCTCTGGATTAGTAGTCCAGTGACAATACCATCCGCAATCTTCAAATATATAAAGATAGAAAAAGTTACAGTATTAAAAGGAGGCTATTCAGTTTATTGTCTTCATGCAGGCCTAGAGAGGAGAACTCTCTAATCTAATCCCAACTTCCTGCTCAATTTCTGCAGCTGTAGGGGTTACACCGTTACAAGGGTTTATTTTTAAACATGAACATTTCTGTCACCACGCTTTCAGGCACTAAGTTTCAGTTTCTTAAATTTTCTTTTTAATTTCACCCCTGTTGTTTTTTTAATCCCCTTCTCAGCTGAGCTCCTGACAGGTGAATTTTCTTTTTTTTTTGCCTCATCTTACTCTTAATGCTCTGACATCTTGGGGATGAGGCAGTGGTGGGGAGACTGTGCTGTGACTGTTTTGCCTTTTTTTTGTTTGCTTTCCAACCACCTTTGGCCCCACCTCGAATACCTCCCTCTGCTCTGACACAGGATTATCTTCAAGTACCTGCTTCCAGTCCCTTCCTTTTTTGTTGAATCACACCTCAGCTCTCAGTGAAGTTAGCACTGCCCCAATTTAAAATGTTGGCTCACTTTACCCTTCTCTGTTACTAAGCCTAACTGAATTATGACCGCCACTGCCAAATGCTCTCACACTGATGTCCCTTCCACCTGCTTAGCTTGAGAGAATGAACCCAAGTGTGAAGCTGCCTCTTCTCGTTGGACTTGCTTCACTGACTGAAGAAGGTCTCCTGAATGCATTTTTTAAGAACTCTTTGGTGGATAAACAGGAGGCTGGAAGAACACAGCAGGCCAGGCAGCATCTGGAGGAAAGGAACAGTCAACGTTTCTGGTATTACCCTTCCTCAGGACTGGATCTTTGTCCTCCGCACTTTTTAGGTTAAGTACTTCTGGTTAACATTTGGGTGGTTGAAATACCCGGCTGTTACCTTTTTTTCCTTCTTTATTCATTCAGGAGAGGAGGGCATATATTACCCATCCCTAACTGCCTGACCACGTTGCTGTGGGTCTGGAGTCACATGTAGGTCAGACCAGGCAAGGATGGCCAGTTTCCTTCCCTCAAGGGCATGAGTGAACCTGATGGGTTTTTCCAAAAATGGATTCATGGTCATCAATAGACTCTTAATTCCAGATATTTATTGAATTCAAATTCCACCATCTGCCGTGGTGGGATTTGAACCCAGGTTCTCCAGAACATTACCTGGGTCTCTGGATTAACAGTCCAACAATAATACCTCTGGGCCACTGCCTCCCCTTGCCCTTTCGTCGCTGTACTTATTTGGTAATCTGAATTGCTTTTATTCACTCGTGAGTGCTGTTGGCTGGGCCAGCATTTACCGCCAATCCCTTGCGGTCCTTCTCTGCCTAGGAGTATACTCCCAGAAGCATAATTACTTCTAATTCTTTGTTCAACCCAAGTAAGCGTCATTTATTGCACCATCTGGCAGCTCATCCTCAGAGGTACGGTTGTTTCTTTAATCAATGCTGCACCCCCGATTGTAATTCCCCTCTGTAACCAGGAATGAGCTACCTTCCCTCCCCTTCTTCTTCTGGAATATTGGGAATATAACTATCACAGCGATATTATGCTGTATGTGGTGCAGCAGCGGGGAGAGTTAAAATCTCTTCACGGAAATAGGAATCCTGACAGCACAGACCTGGTGCCTGCCATAATTATTTTTCAAATACAATTTCTAAAAGCGAATAGCTGGTAGAGAGGGGAAGAGGAGATGGGCGTACCATTTCCGACACATGTCCAGCAGGACGACATTCAGGGCTGTGTTCTTCGCCTGCATCTTGCAGAGGATTTTCTGAACGTTGATGCAGTTCTCCGGTCTGTATGGGTTTGGAGCATTTACTGGCACCATGTAGTTCCTTCCTGAACATTCGTAGCCGTGCCCAGCGTAGTAAAATAGAGCTGTTGGGTCAAAAACAGGAGAGAGAGAGAGAAAGACAGACAGACAGACAGAAAGAGAGAGAGTGGGGGGGGGGG